TCTTCTCCCGCAGTTTGAAGCTGACCGGAGGGCCTTCATTATCACCATTAACTCGTTTGGTACCGAGCTGTCCAAGGAGGACCGAGCGAAGCTGTTCCCGCACTGTGGCAAGCTCTACCCTGAGGGCCTGGCTCAGCTGGCCAGAGCAGATGACTACGAGCAAGTCAAAAATGTTGCTGACTATTACCCTGTGAGTGTTTTGGGGTGACGGCCATGGGGACTGGGGTGAGGACCTGCCCTGGATGAGAGTTGCTCAGGGATCTGGAGGAACTTGCAGGTTGACAGCCCGAGGAGAGGGATGCCTGTCTCCTCCTGCTGCTGCTGCTGTTCCTGTGATCTGAGAGGAGACGCTGACCTGGGAGGACACATTTGGATGTGTCTGGGTTCCTTGAGCTCCTCCTTTGCATGGCTGGGGACCTATTTTAGAGTCTGGGAGCTCCGTGTCCCATTACTGAAGCAGCCAGGGCACGTGCCAGTGTTTGTGGGCAAGGGGCCTGGCCCGAACACTCCAGTCTGTAGGTGGAGGGGTCTGTTACTACCTGGTGCATCCTCCCTGCAGGCTCAAAGCGATGATACGGCTTTGAGAACTGCGTGTTTTGGAGCAGGGCTGGCATCTCTGGCTGGACAAGGCTTTCTCTGCCTTTCTGGGGCTTGCCTTCAGCCCGTGTGCCTGCAGCCTTGGCAGCATCCCCATGCCGGTGTTCATGTGTGCTCAGGGCAGGCTCCTGGCTTCTCTTGTGTCCTCTGCTGACCTGGCACAGTGGTCGGGGTGTCTGTTTGACGTGCAAACACTGCTGGGCTTGGAAGGGCTTTGGGATTTGGATATATCCTCTTGTGATGTCTTCCTGCAGGAATACAAGCTGCTCTTTGAAGGGGCTGGCAGCAACCCTGGAGACAAGACCCTTGAAGACAGATTCTTTGAGCATGAGGTGAGTGAACCCTGAGACGATTCGCAGCACGTGCCTACCATCCTGTGGTTCTGCCTGTGCTGTTTGCAAAGCTGAGGGTAGCAGCGAGCTTGTCTCCTGTCCTGTCAGCAGCACTGTGGGTGAGCACGGCTTGGAGGAAGGGAGAGGATGGGAATGGGGGCCCAGCACAGTGCTTGGTCCATGTTCTCACCCAGACAGATGAGAGCAGTATAAGAGACAAGTTTGAGGCTGCTGGTGAATACTTGCTCCATCAGTAGAAAAAACAGTGTAATGATGTGGGAAAGGAGGATTTTCAGAGTACCTGAAGGTGTAAGTATTTGCCCCTTCGAATGTCAGAGCCTTTCCTGAGCCATGTGTAGGTTAGAGCTGCCCTGAGGACCTAGCGAGCTGCAGAGCAGGATACCTGTGCTGAGCCTTCCAGCACCTCCCAAGCTGCTTCACGCTTGCCTTGACCAGCTTCTTCCCCTCTGAGGTGGACAAGTGACATGTCCTCCTCTGGGCTTTCCCCAGGTGAAGCTGAACAAGCTGGCCTTCCTCAACCAGTTCCACTTTGGAGTCTTCTACGCCTTCGTGAAGCTGAAGGAGCAGGAGTGCCGCAATATCGTGTGGATCGCAGAGTGCATCGCCCAGCGGCATAGGACCAAGATCGACAACTACATTCCCATCTTCTAACCCTGCTCCGCTCCTGTCCGACCCTCCCGTCCCTGGAGTCCGCAGGGACCCCTCGCTAACTCATCCCTTCGCTCAGGCTCCGGGGATGTCCCATCTGTGGAACTGACTCGGATGAAGAAATTGTACAGTTGCTAGTTAAATTATTTGAAGTTCGAGTCGCGTGTGCTGTGAGGGGTCCAGAGGGACCAGTGGCACAGGCTCGGCCCTGTGTGTATCTAATAGTCCCCGTGTTACCGTACTAACCTGCTGTATGCGCTTACTCTCCTAGAACCAGCACCAGCTGGGGGGCTGCTGCCTCTGTGGGCTTCCCATGGCTGTGGAGGAGCACGCTGGGTCAGCCGTGGCTGGGGGCCCCGTCTGTCGCTGCTCCACACGCCTCCTTGTCTGTGTTGTTCCTGTGAGATGTAGTTTTTGAGCGTGATTTGTGGCGTAGGCCGTGCTGCTGTGAAAATCCCTGCATCCCCCTGTAGCTAACCCTGACCTGGGAGAGGCTGAGCAGCCCTGGCCGGGAGCGGGATGGAGCCCGTGGGAACGCGAGGGCAGAGCCCAGAGTGCTTGTGGAGCATGTTTCTCCCCTCCCACAGCCTTGTCATGTCCTCAGAAGCAGCTCCCATCACTCTCCCTCCTGCCTCGCAGCTTGAAAGGATTCCAGAGGCTGGCTGAGCTCCTTTCTCCCCTGAAGACAGACGGCTTGGAGTTGTCTGTCACAACCTTTTTGGCTCTGTGGAGGGTGCTGGACCGCCATCCAACCCCAGGGCACACATCCAGGCTGCTGCAGCCCCCTCCCCCGCACAGGG